CACTTTCATTTCCTGATATTTCAACTGTCACTCCATTTCTGTTGCTTCATTCATTCGTCCTTCTTTTAACTTGTTTGCTTCTTTCTTCACGAATTTTATCATGATCTTAAGACTTTTTGTTAAATACATTATTGAAATTGAGATAAGAGTGGCGATAATGATTCTCTTTTTGTTGATATCTTTTAATACATCTTAAAAAAAAAAACTAAAACAAACGAAATTGACTGGTTAAATTTTTCTTTTAATTTAAATTTCGATCATACTATATTGGTAAAGGTTGCTTTTTTTTTTTTTATCTTTTTATATGTGAAATATTCAATAAAGCAATAATTAATAAGCATATAATTTGAATTATTTTGAGTGGAACAAAAAATGAATTAAAGTTTTTTGGGAATTATTCAATAAATCATTTAATGTTATTCTAATTACTATGCAAATAACTTTCATATCGATTAATTTTGTTTGCAATAATTGTTATATGCCAAAAAAAAGGAAAAAAAAACAGGAAAATATAATATTTTATAAAAAAAATGAACTTAATTTATTGCTATGTAATAAATATATTAAATGTAATAACAGATAATAACTACAATTTAAAAATGCTGCACAACATTTCAATTAATATATTAATGATTTGAGAAATATTTTTAATATTCACTTCCTTCTTCATCATCGCTAAGTGCTGCGGAATCTTTACTAACCTAAAAAGGTAAAATTTTTTAATTAATATGAAATTAATAATTATGTAAATTTTATTTGGGAATATTTTAATATTATAAAAAATTCAAACACACATTGACATTTTAAATGAATAAATGAATAGAGTCAAAACAAAAGAAAAAAGAAAATTTGGAAAACTATTAACAATGATATTTTTTAGTGAAAAAAATCACAAATATATTTGGAAATGTAAAAAATTTGCAATTTTAACAGTTTTCTCTTTTTTTTTATTGAAAAAAATTGGAAATTACAAATAATTAAATTAAATTAATATCATTTCAAATATTCATTACCTCATCATAATCTCTTTCTAATGCAGCTAAATCTTCACGTGCTTCCGTAAATTCACCTTCTTCCATACCTTCACCAACATACCAATGAACAAATGCACGTTTTGAATACATTAAATCAAATTTATGATCCAATCGAGCCCATGCTTCAGCTATTGCGGTAGTATTTGATAGCATACAAACGGCTCGATGTACCTGATACGAAAAAAAAAATTAAAACTATTAAGCGTATTTAATTTTAGATTTAAAATAATTAAATTTTAAATCAAAATTATGAGATGATATTTTCAAAAAATATAATAATCAAATTTTAAATCAAAATTTTCAGATCATAATTTCTACATTTAATCTTATTTTAACCTTTGCTAGATCGCCACCATGGACAACAGTTGGTGGTTGATAATTAATGCCAACTTTAAATCCAGTCGGACACCTATAATAATTATCAATTAATTTGTTATTTTTATAACAAAAGTAATGAAACTAGAATGTAATTAAATTATTTCATAAGAAATTCGAATAAATTAGATAAAAAAAAGAAAATACCAATCAACAAATTGTATTCCACGTTTTGTTTTAACCATAGAAATTGCAGCATTTACATCTTTCGGTACAACATCACCACGATACAGTAAGCATACTGCCTATAATACAAAAATTTATTATTATCATTTCTAATAGATTAAAAAAAATTTTTAAAAGAAAATTATGAAACACTACGATAATTTTAATTATAAATTATTATATCGTAAGCATATCACTGTTTCTTATTACTACTATTACTATTATTATTATTTTATTGTTATTATTATTATTATTATTATTATTATTATTATTATCATTATTATTATTATTAATATTATTGCTATTATTATTATTATTATT